ATATTTTTAAACAATAATATATTAGTGAAAAGCTAGATAATGACGACTTAGTACTTGTTATAAAAAATCAGAACAATTTTATGGTTTAATACATTAAAGTTTTAAATAAAATAAAAAAACATTTGATGCGATTGTTGAAACAGATGGCAAGGCTTTTAAGGAATTTATGAAAGAACATCGAATCAACATCAAATGAGATATATGCGTAATATGTGAAGATTTGAACGTCACGAGGTGCAATAAGTGCTGGGACTTTAATCACAAAGCGAGTGTATGCAAAGAAGGCGACCTCATTTGTGCTAAATGCAGTGAATTGGGACATTCACATAAGGAGTGCAAAAACAATTATGTCAGATGTGTTAATTGTGTTAAAGCCAAAAAATTGCTTAACCTCAATGACAACGACAACGACTGTAGCGATGAGATATATAAGATCTTACAACGCAGAACTTAACTGAAAGCTGAAAACACTAATTATAATTAACTATCTAGGCGTGATAAGAAATATAGGTTAGGTGGCGAAGTGGCTATGGACATTTAAAAGGTCTGTCTCCATGGAAGCTGAAATTGAGTAGATCTGTGTGAGTGTACATACTCGAATTTATAAGATTTTAGTAACTTGTGCTTATAAGCCCAACAAAATATTTTCCTGCGATCCTCTTTTTGATTCCCTTCTACCTATTGCCCTTAAGTTGGATTTTCTTGCAGTATTTGCTGATTTCAATAATGATTTTCTTCTAAACTCTGCTAAAGCAGCTAAATTACATGACTTGATGACTCAGACGGGTCTAAGTGTTGTAAAGTTTTGTTTTTCGAACAGATTTCGTTTGTGTCTGACCATGATCTATTATTTGAAAGTTTTGATTATAATCCGACTAAAAATTTACTTCCACTCAATTTTCTTTCTGGAACTTCAATTTTATTGATACTCGGAGATTGTTTAGTGAGTTGAATTCCGTTGATTGAAGCAAGTGCTGGCTTAGTGTATAAGTCGATAAAAAATTGGTAGCCTTTAATAACATTTTGACAGATTTGTTACAACGTTTGGTGCCGTAACGTACAGTGTGTGCAAGAAATTCATCTTGTCCTTGGTTGAAGTCTGACATTAAACGAAAAATTAACTACAGAAATAAAAAATATGTTCCTTGGAAGAAATATCCCACCAAATTCAATTGGATGCGATTTAAAGTAGCTTGGAAATTAGTTTCTGCGGCTAATTATAAAACCGAATAAGCTTTCTGTAAATCCAAACTCAGTGATTGTCAGCAAACAAAATCTCTCTGGAATAATATTAAATCTCTGGAAATTATAAAAAGCTCAACAGCTGTGTTTTCTTAGATCGTAATAACAAATGATTAATTTGTTTCGTCTGTTGATAATAGTTTGAGAGCTAATCCTGTGTTCCTTATTCTTGAACTGGAGTTTCTCAAGGGTCAATTCTGCATCCCCTTTTGTTTGCAATTTATATAAATGATGTCTTTTCAATTTGTAAATATGTTAAATTGCATGGGTATGCTGATGACATCCAAATGTATATCTTGTGATTTCAACGCTATTGGAAATCTAATTCAGAAGTTAAACGTTAATTTAGAGACTGTTAACGCTTGGGTCGTTCAAAATAACATGGTATTTAATGTCAATAAAACAATTATTTTGCCAATCAGTAGTTTAGAAATAAATGTGAATGATTTGCCTCAGGTGTCTATTTTCTTAGTCTATTTTCTTATTTTTCTTATATTTTTTTTATCTATTTTCTTAGTTAGTTTTAACTTTAGTTTTTTTCCCTTAACGCATTTTTAAATATAATAAAATAAAAAATATTTTTAAAAATGCTTCGTTTCTTATTAAGGGCGTTTTGACCCGTTTGTAACCATTGAATCCCTTATGACCACATACACAGCATAGTGTTATTTTGTTTGTGCTAGTTAACGCAGATAGGGGTTTAAGACCAACATTATGTAGTGATTCAAGATCGAAGGAATCTATAGCTCCATAGACTTTGCTCCATAGACTTCGGAACACATAATAATGTTTTTTTTAGACATAACAGAAAATTCAATGACATGTTCTTTTGAACGACATAGTATAGAAAAATTTTTCATTGATGTGAAAATCCAGGAAAGGGAAGGAAACTAACTGGTTATAGATATTATTAAGAAGTAAGATAAGTATTAGTTAAGGCTATTTATCGTTATTAAAGAAAAACTAGTATCCTTTTTTTCAAACATTTCCTAATAGTGTTTGTTGTGATATTTTTGTTTAAATTATATTTATATTATATATAAATATAGTTTTATATTATAGAATAAAAACTGGAAGCAAGAGAGAGCTTTTTAACATAAAATAAGTGTTCACAAAACCAATAAAAGTTTCTATCCCAAAACGTAGTATTAGGATGTTACAAAAATGTTTAAACAAAAGCGTAATATTCAACAGTGTTTCTTATTAAATTTATTTTCTTTTTTAAAAAGTTTTTAAAAAGAATTATTTATATATTATATATAATATTAGGGATACGCATCTTAACTGATAAATGCCTTATAAACCTCATAAACGTATAAGTTTATCTGCTTGGTAAATGAATTGTGGCTAAAAAATCGCGCTCCTGAGCATTGCATTTTGTGCTGTCATAATTATTGCTGATATAGATAGTGCTATTATACAGCAGATTAATAAACTCACACGAATATTTCACTAAGTGCGTTAATATAACCGTGTACGTAAACGCATAAAATTTTATTCTTGATAAATTTATGTGCTTAGATGATATATATATATTTATATAATATATTAGTTATATTATTAATATATTGTTCTGTGATACAAGACGACTACTGTAGTCGTTCTGTATGAAAAGTTTCTTGCAAAGATCAATTGTTAAATCGAATGAGTTCGAATTAGTTTTTTGACAATTGTTAATTTTTTTCTCAAAATCTTCTTTTCTCTTTCTTTTGTGTTTCCCTTAATGTTCTCCATTTTCAATAGAGATTTTAAACATATAATTTTAATGTGATGTATTATATTTTCTTTAGCCTATTTTACAGAAACCTTAAGTGTTTGATGGCATCTTTTTGGGCACTAAATTATTTCAGTCACATTTTTGGTTTTATACTCATTTTTTTCTGGCAGTATTACTACACTATATAACGACTTTACCTCTATTATATGAAGTAGTGAATTATTTGATAAATTGAATATTCCTTAAATTGGACATTCGTTAAATCAGATATTCATTATATTGGATACTCGTTATATTGGATACTCGTTATATTGGTTACTCGTTATATTGGTTGCTCGTTATATTGAATGTTTATACATCGCATAAAGTTTTAATGAAAATAAAATAAATTTATTTACATCTGAAAACAATTACTATATATACCTTTGATAATGACTTTAATTGTAATAGAAACAAATTTTCTAGTTATATTGGATACTCGTTATATTGGTTACTCGTTATATTGGTTGTTCATTATATTGAATGTACATACATCTCATAATGTTTTAATGAAAATAGAATAAATCTATTTAAATTTGAAAACGATTACTATATATATTATAATGGCTTTATATAATGACTTATTATAATGACTATATATTATAATGGCTTTAGAAACAAATTTTCTAGTATTTAAAATTATTTAACTGAATTTGACAGTTGAGAACCTAAAACGAAAGTTAACATCATCTTAAGACCTTCATCAAGTAAATATATTTTAATCATTTATATATATATATGAAAACATAAGGCCTTTAATCTGAAGAACTGTTTAAATGAAATTATATTTTTCAGTTTTGTTGAGAGTTTAATTATATTTGATTATATTAAAAATATTATAAAGGTGACTTCATTTACATTCTTGTGAACTTCAATTAATTAAATTTCATTTTAGTTGAAAAGCACATAAAACCTTTAAAATTATTTAGTTTAATTGCCATGTAGACCAATAGAGACATAGAGCAATATTTAAAATCATTTGCAACTAAATGTCAAAATATGCCCCCAAAGCATTTGACATTGTATTTGTCACCATATTCATTTCCATTTTAACAACAATTACAACAAAAACAACAGCATTATATGATTTTGTATCATTATTATGTGTGGGTATCACAGGCAGCCATCAGATATCATCGATTTAACTCAATGTTGAAACTGTTCTGTATTGCTTCTGTGATCAACTCTTTCCGAATGCGAAACTGTAAGTTTAAAGTAACGTAATTATTAACGTAATAATTAACACTTTTAAGCCGTACAGTACAGCACTGAACACACATGCAACCACTTGTCACTTGCGACTTGTCATGTGTCACGTATCGACACCATAACCAGCATAGACGGTTTTACTAGGTGGAGCTTTTAATATTGTTGATGATGGAGTCTATATGTCACAATATTATGTTGACACAAAATAGCTTCCAGCATTAATAAATCATTCAGAATGCACTTTGGGACTTTGTATTTGAACATTATGCGTGTGGCTTTAACTAGAGTGAGTGAGAGCATTTATAATTGCATTGGACAATACATGTACCAGGATATGAGTGGGTGTAGTAGGCGCTTTTCTAATTGCATTGAATCATTTTTAATTTAATTTTGTTTTTGTTTTTTGAATTATTGTTTGCTAATTTCGAATTTGGCTTTAAATGCATTAAAGTGTGTTATATTTAATTGCTTGAAAATTTTACTTAAATAGTTAGTTATATATAATTTATTTATAATATTATATAAAATAATTTTTTTAATTTCATGTTTAAATTTAACTGAAAATTATGTTCACAAAATTGATATTTAAGAAATGGCAAAATTTAATTAATTTTGCTTAATTTATAACAAAATATGTCTTGCCATTCACATTAGCTTGGGCTTAAATGAGATATTGTTGGCGGAA